GTGGCCATCTGGCAGGGTAGGTGTTACGTCCTCCCACAGGCCTTTCAAGGGAACCACCTAGGGGCCCGGGAGAAAAGAGAAGGTTGAGGGTCCCAGGTGTCCAGGCCCTCCCCACCTGCTGTAAGGGAGAGGGCAGAGGAGTTCCCAGGGGAGAAGACCACTTCCTCCATCTCGGCGGCTACCCAGCCCTCCCCCGGGGGCAGCGCAGGCAGAGGTGGGCACCTTGTGTGGCTGCCGCTGGGCCCAGTCCTGGAGCCTCTGGAAGACGCTGTCATTGCACTCAATGATCCAGTGCTCATCGATGGGGACCTCCTGCACCTTGGAGGCCGCGATCGCCATGCCAAAGCCCACCTCCAGCACCCGGCCCCCTGGTCACACAAAGAACCCAGTATCACATGCCAGGCTGGGGCTGGGCAGCTGCCTGGAGGAGGGGGCACAAGGGCAGGGCCTTTGCGGAGAGAAATGTTTGCCACAAGGCCGGGAGGGCACAAGTAGGGCAGAGGCGGAGGGTGGTTTGGAACACAATAGGCCTGAGCGGGAGCGGCATGGGCTCTGGCCAGGGACGTGTGGGCAGCTGGTCTGAGGCCTGGCCCCAGTGGGGAGGGCAGACCCTGGACTTTGAGCCCTGGTAGCGCTTATCTCTTGAGTTGGTTACTTTTGTCTACCCTCCTTGCTACAATGAAACGGGGGTGGGGTGGGGGTGGGTTTGAGGCCTGGGGCCTGGAACACCTGGGAAGGAGGTGGGTCCCCACTGGCCCAAAGACAGGCGAGGGGGACACCCCAACTATGCAGGGACGCTGGGTACGCTTATTGGCCAGGTAGAAACACGGCCGCCGGGAGGACCCCCGCCCCGCCCCGCCCCTGGGGCGCCCCGCAGTCTCTGACCTAGGCACAGGGCCACCCCTACAGCTGTTTCCCAGCCTCAGCTTTCCCGGAGCTATTCTTATACCGGGCGGGGCTTCCGGGGACCCCGGGGCAGGAACATTGCCCGCGTGTGCCTGGGCAGCGCCCCCCGCTCGGGCCAACACGGCCTCCCCGGCTTCATGCGGGGATAGAGGCCGAGCTCCACGCGAGGTCATCGTCGGAGAGCCTGTCCCCATCTGCGGGGTGGGGGCCCGTTACCCCCGGATAGGAAGTTCCGCTACTTAGGAGGCGCCTGCTGTGTGCAAGCCCCTGCCGGCAGCACCCGCTTTTATTTCCCCGTTGCCCCCCGCTAGCCTCATTTTGCAGGCGGGAAAACAGAGACACGGGAGGCTCGGGTGCACCTCGGCTGGAGAGCGGGCTGGACACCGGATCTGCGCGACCTTCAGCCTCAGTTTACCCCTGCGCGCCCGGCTACCTTTGGAGGAGGCGGCGGCCGCCAACGCGTGCATGTAGGGGGTCTCCCAGCGCTCCATCACCGGCTTGCCGAGGATCTGCAGGTGCATGTCCGCCGCGTCGTAGGCCGCGGGCGCCGCCTGCCACGCGGGGCTGCAGTTCTCGCCGGGGGCGAAGATGGGGGGCACGGCGGGGGCGCTCATGCTGCGGCTGCAGCGCGCGCCTGGACTCGGCTGGCGACGCGCGGGCCTTGTCCCTGCGAGGCCTTCTGGGCCGGGGGGCGGGGCCGGGGGCGGGGCCGGCCCGCAGGTCGGGGGCGGTCCCGGGAGCGGGCCGCGCGGGGGGCCCGGGGGCCCCTAGCGGCCGCCGCGCGGAAGGCGCCCTGTGCAGTCTATGCAGGTGGCACTCGCTAAATGTCACCCAACTTAAGCGATGCCCCGGAACGCCCTGCCTGGGACGGAAGGCAGGTTATATTTGTTAGGTGTTGCTGCGTAACAAGTGACCCAAAGGTGCCACTTCAGACAACACGCCTTTCTTAACCCTTCGCTGGGTCCTCTGTTTCACGCCCTCTCAGAATGCGCTGTCAGGAGGCCAGCCAGGTATGGGGGCGCCTTTGAGGGCTCCCCTAGGGAAGGATCCGCTTCCAAGCCCATTCACTGGCCGTTGGCGGGAGGGCCTCCCCAACGTGACAGCACGAGAGTCTGCAATGTCAGAATTGTTTGAGACCTAATCACAGAAGCGACAGCCCTTCACCATGGCCAGGCACACGAGGGCAGGGATCTCGCAGGGCCAGGAGGAGCAGGAAGCGGAGGCCGCTGGGGAGCTCTCAGGGTGGCTGCCCACACAGACCCCAGCGAAAGCAGTGGGGGGTGGTCAGCTCAGAGCCCCCCCTGTGGATTCAGTGTCCCCGGACATAAGGGACCTCCTGGCGGTCACCTACACGCAATTTGGACCGCATCCCAGAAAGTAGCCATGGGCACAGTACCGTCTGGCTGCCAACTTAGCCAAACGGTTTCTGTTCCAGCTTCAGCTTCCTCTTCTCCCACATGGGCTAACCACTCTTGTTCCTGCTCCTGTTGGCGAATGAGTGACACGTGGTCCTTCCTTGTGTCCACTTTTTGTGAGAGGCCCTAGTGTGTGCTGCAACTGTCTGCACGTCACAGCCTGGAATCAGAGAGGGAAAGTGACTTCCTTGAGGGTGCACAGCAAGTCGCGGCAGAGAGGATGAGAGGAGGGATGTATCTGACTCCAGTCTTTTTTTTTTTTTTAAAGATTTTATTTATTTGACAGAGAGAGACACAGCGAGAGAGGGAACACAAGCAGGGGGAGTGGGAGAGGGAGAAGCAGGCTTTCTGCTGAGCAGGGAGCCCGATGTGGGGCTCGATCCCAGGACCCTGGGATCATGACCTGAGCCGAAGGCAGACGCTTAACGACTGAGCCACCCAGGCGTCCCAGGACTTTTTTTTTTTTTTTTTAAGATTTTATTTATTTGACAGAGAGAGACACAGCGAGAGAGGGAACACAAGCAGGGCGAGTGGGAGAGGGAGGAGCAGGCTTCCTGCAGAGCAGGGAGCCCGATGTGGGGCTCGATCCCAGGACCCTGAGATCACGACCTGAGCCGAAGGCAGACGCTTAACGACCGAGCCACCCAGGTGCCCCTTATTTTATTTTTGTAAAGATTTTATTTATTTATTTGACAGAGAGAGACACAGCGAGAGAGGGAACACAAGCAGGGGGAGTGTGAGAGGGAGAAGCAGGCTCCCCGCGGAGCAGGGAGCCCGATGCGGGGCTTGATCCCAGGACCCTGGGATCATGACCTGAACTGAAGGCAGACGCTTAACGACTGAGCCACCCAGGCGCCCCTGACTCCAGTCTTAGAAGACTGTGTATACGTATATAATATATATACTTCTGATTAGAAAGGTGACACGTTTGAGCAAAACATTTAAATGTTACAGACTTGGCATCCGCCTGCAGATCACATCCCCCTGCTGTTGTTTTGGTACAGCTTAGAACGGTTTTTACATTTTTAAATAGTTGTGGGGGGAAGACTATTTTACAACATGTAAAAATTATATGACATTCACATTTGTGCGTTGGTAAATAAAGTTTTATTGGCACAGAGCCACCTCCATTTGTTAACATCAGCACTCTGGTGTTTTCTGGCTATAATGGTCCAGGTGAGTCATGGCTATGAAGCCTTACAGCCAACAAACCCAAAAATATTTACTAGTTAGCTCTGTACAGGAAAAGTTTGCTAGCCCTGTTGTAGTGCAGTGGGTCCTGGGAAGTGACGTTCATTCATTCATCAGACACATATGGAGTACCTTACTTCGTGGGTCCCATCCTGACTCCCCTGGAGCTCACATCCTCACAGTGGGGGGATGAACAAGAATAAGTGATACGTGGGGCACCTGGCCAGCTCCGTCTATGGAGTGTGCAACTCTAGATCTCGGGGTCGTGAGTTCGAGCCCCCCGCTGGGTGTGGAGCCTACTTAAAAAATTTTTTTAAAGTAAAAAAAAAAAACAACACAGTAAGTGAATGGGTTAGACCAAAAGGCAGAAACAATCCAAATGTCCATCAGTGTGTGAAGGATAAACACACACTGGAACACGCTCCAGCCTTAGGAAGGAAGGGACCCTGACACCTGCCATGATGTGGAGGGACCCTGAGAACACTGGGCTCAGTGAAAGGAGCCAGACCCAGAAGGACACATCCCGCAGGACCCCACTCCCAGGAGGCCCCCAGAGGGGTCCCGTCCACACAGACAGAGAGGAGAGGGTGGGAGCCGGGGCTGGGGCAGGGGGTGGGGAGTCCATGCTTCGTGGGGACAGAGTCTCCGTGTGGGGAGATGGAAAGTTCTGGAGACGGAGGGTGGGGGTGACAACAGGACGGTGTGAGTGTGCTTCATGCCGCTGAGCTGTGTGCTTAGAGACGGTTACGATCTTTTTTTTTAAAGACTATTTATTTGGAGAGAGACACAGAGAGGGAACACAGCACAGGGAGTGGGAGAGGGAGAAGCAGGCTTCCGGGACTTGATCGGGACTCGATCCCAGGACCCTGGGATCACAACCTAAGCCGATGGCAGACGCTTAACGACGGAGCCACCTAGGCACCCCAAGATGGTTACGATCTTGAATTTTATGTGTATCGTACAACATTAAAGAGACCAAAAGTGTATTTTGTGTATTGGGTACGCACGTATCCATGTTAGGATTAAACTCAGAAGTGTCCACATATCCATTATTGTCCAGCATTTGCTCTGGGGCAGAGGCAGGAAATGAGTCAGGAAGGAGAGAAAAACCAACTGCCTAGTTTATCTTTTTAGAAAGATATGAAGTAAACATAACAAAGCACTAACATATGTTTGTTCCAGTGGCAGGTACACAACTCTGTTATTTTATTCCTGGTAGGTGTTTGTATTTTAACATATCTTCTGTTTTTTTAAGATTTTATTTATTTATTTGAGAGAGAGAATGAGAGCATGAGAGGGGGGAGGGTCAGAGGCAGAAGCAGACTCCCCGCTGAGCAGGGAGCCCGATGCAGGACTCGATCCTGGGACTCCCGGATCATGACCTGAGCCGAAGACAGATGCTTAACAGACTGAGCCACCCAGGCGCCCTTAACATATCTTTTTTTTTTTTTTTAAGATTTTATTTATTTATTTGAGAGAGAGAATGAGAGAGAGCACATGAGAGGGGGGAGGATCAGAGGCAGAAGCAGGCTCCCTGCTCGCGGGGCTCAATCCCAGGACTCCAGGATCATGACCTGAGCCGAAGACAGATGCTTACCCAACTGAGCCACCCAGGCGCCCTTAACATATCTTTTTAATAGGCTGTATGCCGAAGCGGAGCTTGAACTCATGACCCTGAGATCAAGAGTCCCACGATGTACTGAGCCAGCCAGGCCCCCCAGCGTCTGTATTTTTAAAAATATATTATTTTAAGCCGTCTGTGTCTGGCTTCCTTCATTTGACCACATCCTGTGTATTTCGCTCAGGCCCTTCATGGCTTATTTATGGAGATACCAATGGATGGATGTGTGGGTTGTTCCAAATGTTCTGCTCCTGTTAGTGGGCTGTGCGCATCATGGGACATCTCTGTGCGCTTAGCGGGGCCAGCATTTGAGGGATAAATTCCTGGAAGTGGGCTTGCTGAGCTTCCTCCTTTGTTTGCGTCATGTGTGCTTCCCCCATCAGGGACACCAGCGGAGCCTGTCTGTCCCCAGCGCCCTCTTCTCCACTTGTCTTGGGTACGTTCTTCCAGCCCCCCGGGGCCCCCAGTGGGGTACCAGTCCCTGCCAACCGCTACTGATTCCTGTGACGTGCAAAACGTTACGGAGCGGTGCATGAACACAGTTCCCAGGGCAGGGGGGACACGACGCCGCCCGGGCCGCGCCCTTGCCTTCCGCCGGACCGCCCTCTCCCACCTGCAGATGGGGACCAAGGAGTTCCTCCGCTCTGCGACTGCTGGGAGCGAGTGACACGGGCGAGGCGAGAGGTGTTGTAACCGGCCGGTCTCGTGCTGTTGCCCGTGACCTCGTTCCGCCGCTCCTTCCGTTCACTTAATTAGACGATGACGAATACATGGCCTTCCCGCCGGCGGAGAGAGCGGGCGGAGCCGCGCACCACCGCCCGACAACGGCGCACGGGGCCTCACGAGGTGCGGGCGCCCCGGGCTGCGCGGCCGCCGGCAGCGCGGACCCCAGAACCGCATCTGCAGCGGCCGGGGACACGCGGCGCGGTCGCCCCGCCAGGTCTTCCCCTGAGCCTCTCCTCGCGTCAGACGAGCTCCGCGGGGGCAGCGGGGACGCCGGCCAGGAAAGGGGCACCGCCGCCTCGGGTGACCCCGCACCGGGCGTGGCCTCTGTCCACCGTTGACCCCGCGCGCCACTTCCGACCTGCGATCAAACAAGGAAGCCCAGACGCGCCTGCGCCCCGCGGCGCCTAGTTCGGAGGGCCCGAGCGCGAGCGCGCGCGCACGCACGCACGCACGCACGCACGCACGCCATTCGGCCGCGCGCTCCCCTCCGCCGGGCGGGGCCGGCGCGCGGAACTCCACTTCCCGGCGTGCACCGCGGCGACGCCGACAGCGCGAAGGAGCAAGGCCGCCGTGCGCCGGGACCGCACGCAGGCACGCACGCAGGCACGCACTCCGGCGGGCGCACCCCTGGCCCCGCCCCCGGAGGCCCCGTGCGGGAGCGCGCCCGGGCGTGCGCAGGGCGGCGGCGCGGGCGCGGGGGCGCGCGGTGACCGTTGGCGCTGAGGGGAGGAGGCTGCGCGGCCGCCGCCGTTGCGCAGATCCGGGCCGCGGCTGTGGGGAGGGCGCCGGGGCCGGTGACCTTCCGGAGGCGGGAGCGAGCCAGGGGGCCCGGGACGCCGAGCGCCGCCGCCATGAACAACTCGGGCGCCGACGAGATCGGGTGAGGACGCGCCGGCCTGCGCCGCCGCCGCCCAGACGCCGCCCCGGCCCCCGTCAAGGTCACGCCGGCGGGCCGCGTTGGGGCGGGCGGCCTGGGGGGCCGGGGACCCCGGCCGGGGCCGCCGGGGTCGGGGGCCGGCGAGCAGGAGCCTGGGAGTCCGGCGTCCCGCCGCTTCCTGGCCGGGGCGGCTCTGGGAGGGCCGGGGGGGGGGGGCGGACGCCGCCGCTTCCTGGCGGAGGGGGACCCGGCACGGGAGCCGGGCGGCGGGGAGGCGGCCCGGGCGTCCCCGCCGCCGCCGCCGCCGCGCCCGAGTTTCCCACTGTGGGATCCGGAGCGGGGCCCCTGGCGGCCTGGGGCGGCCTGTCCGCCCCCGCGCCTGGATTTCTGGCTGGGGGACCCCGAGCGCAGCCCTGGGAGGGCCCGCGGGGCCCCCGCTGCCTCCCGGTCGAGGAGCACCCGGGCCGGGAGCCCGGGGGCTCTGGGACGCCTTGTGTCCCTTGGCGCCTGGACTTCTCGCCGGGGGGTCCTCGAGCTGAAAGCGGAGGGCTGCGGGCGCCCCGCGCGCCTGGGTGCCGGCGTCCCGCCTGGGGCCGCCGGCGTTCCCCGAGCCCGAGCCCGAGCACCAACTTGGCGGGGCGGCGCACGTGGCGGCCCCGGCCCCCGCCGTGCCAGTTCTGCCGCCGCGCAACTTCTTCCTCGCGGCCGTCGGGCGGCGGCTTGCCCCGTTGCCACCCCTAGCCCTTCCCGAAGCGCGAAGAGCAGGAGGGTGCGCGGACTCAGGGCCCGAGGGCCGGGGTCACGTGGGAGCGGCCCCGGACCGTCGGACGGGGCTTCTGCAGCTGGAGTCCCTTCCGGCTCAGCCCCCTCGAGCCCACCAATAGACGGGCTGGAGAGGGAGAAGGAAGGTGCCTCCAGGGGGTGGCGGGTAAGGCTCCCTCCCGGCGCTCTCCTTGACCAGAGCGGGGTTCTTCCCCGGAATCAGAGCCGTGGCTGAAGCCGAAGGAGCCCGAGACGCGAGCAAGCGATCCCCCAGGAGCCGGAAAATCCGTTTCTGCCCTAGGGAGGCGCTTGGTCTAGTTGTCTTTGCGGAGAGCAGCTCCTACGCCATCAGCATGGTTTTACGCTTGCATTTCTCCGTGCAGTTTGGGTTGGGTTTCTGTGGCCTTGTATACGTTTCTCAGTCCCCGAGCTTTGAGGAGGCGCAGTGTGTGGTCAGTCACTGTTTGCGGGGTAACTGGCCTCCCAGGGCCTCCAGCTCCGGGTTACTCCTGTGGACCTAAAATGCCTTCTGTGGGCTCCCCCTCCCCAGACCCCACACCACAGAGGATCGGGAGGAGGACCCTGAACTCCTAGCCCGGTGTGTTTGGAAAAGCTTGTCCGGGGACTGGAAGACGGGGTGTTCTTTGTGTTATGTGGGCGGAAAGTTGCAGCACTTCTGACGGGAAACTAGGGTATAGGGAGAAAGTGCTCCAGAAGTGGGGCAGAGCCTGACCGGAGAGAGAACAGGCCTGCCCCATGCATTCCCCACGGTGCTGGCCTCCAGAGCGCAGCCAGGAGCCGCCCAGGGCGGCGGTCTCCAGGCTTCGGGCTGCTTTTCTCTCTCAGCAGGGAGAGCAGACAAAGGCTAGGAGGGAAGGGAGCCTGGAGACCCCTGAAGTGTGCTGTGAGGATCCACGCCTGGGTCTGCAGAGGCAACTTGGGGACGCTGTGGAGCTAGTAGCAGGTCGGGGTCAGGGACCCTGCCTGGCCACATTCCCCTCCCCACTCCTGTAAATCCACCCGGATCGCCTGAGTTTTAAAGTTGTAGATGACAGGTGTCCCAGAAACCTTTCATTGCTTTGCAGGTAGAAATCTGTTGCTAAAAACTATCGACCAGTTTCTGTTTTACATATAGGGTCCTTGTTTCTGTTCCACTGATGTGGGAGTCCAGGGTCCACTTGGATCTCCTTGCTATGTTTGGCTGTCCTCGGACAGTGCGGCTGATTATCGGGCTGCCTGATGAAGGGCCCTCTTGCAGTTTCCTGTGAGCGGACCATGGTTGCCTACTCTGGGGTGGTTACCATGTGGGAGTGAGTGTTGTGCTCAGATCCAGGTGATGGCAGATGTTAGCGGGATGTGGCGGGTCTGAATGATCTCTGATGACATGCACCTTCGTCTGTGATCTCCTTTGCTTTGGTCTTTGGTCAGCCTCGTCTGAGTGACTCCTGAGGGAGCGGGAAGGGCTGCTCCCCTTTCCTTAACAGGAACCTGCATGTATGGGTGCAGGGGCAAGGCCTCCGGAAGTGTGTGGATGCGTGGGGTGCCATCCAATGGGGGGATGTACTTCTGAGTTTGAGTCTTCCAAGGAAGAGCTTCACGGAGTCTTGGCTGTACCTGAGCCGGCTCACTGGTCCTCGTGAAGTCTGGAGGGAGAGAGGAAGTTGGCTGAGACCGGTGGTTTTAGTTAGTGTTTTCATCGTCCTGATTGTCACAATCAGCCAGAGCAGAGGGAGGGCTGGGTCTTGAGGCCAGAGGGCTGATAGGAGCAGCGGTGTCATGTGGGGCCCCATGTAGCAGGTGTGTGACAGGCTGATATCCTCCCTTGGGGCCAGTGACTAGGGGGACAGGCACTTACCTTGCTGGGGTGGTGGGGGGGGTAGCACTGTGTCCTCTTTCCCGTGCCATAACCTTAGAAGTTGACTTCAAGAAGGGTCTCTCGATTCTGACTCTGGAACTGGTACTGGCACAAGCCTTACAGAGTCCAGACCCCCTGGTCTCTCGGTAGGCCTCTGAGGGCTCCTGGCGTCGTGTTGGTGCTCACAGGTGCTGGGGAGGGGGCTGGTTCCCGTTCGGGCAGAGGTGTCTTGTCCACCTGCCTCTGGGGTGCTGGCTTGTGTTGTGGAACTGAAGAGAAGTTTGAGGAAGATTTTATCTATTGGGCACATGGTCTGGTAAGGCAGGGCCCACTGGACACCCTCAAGGGGAGAGTCCCAGGGGAAGGAGGGACTCCGCGGAGAGAAAGTGAAGCAGCACGCGGGTCGCTTTGAGAGAAGGTGCAGGGAGGCGTCAGGAGTCCACTCCCTGCGGGAGCTGGGAGCACGGAAAGCGGGTGACCTCACCTGTCCCAGCAGCCCAACAGTCCCCGGGGTGCTGGCAGGGTGAGGCCAGAGGCCTGGGCCTGGAAGTGTGGGGACTTGTTAAATGCCTGTTTTCACTGAGCACCCAGGAGGTGGGGAGGGTCCTAATGGTTTGGTTCAGAGAGGTCCTGATTGGGGAAGAGGCCGTTTCTTGCAGTGTAGAGGGTGATGGAGACCTCTGGGGGTAGGAGGTAGAGATGCTTCTCTTCTGCATTTTGGAGCAGAGTCTCTGCCCAGCGGTGCTGACATTTGGGGTGTCCTGGGCACTGTGGGGGCTGAGCAGCATCCCTGACCCCCACCCACTCGGTGCCGGGAGCACCCCCAGTTGTGACAATCACAGATGTCCCCAGATACTGCCCAGTATCCTCTGGCAAATGAGACACCTGTTTGGGAACGTCTGCTCTTTTCGGCCTCGTTCCCAGGGTCCCTGCCACTTGCCCCCATGGTTTAGGATTTGTTTGCCGTAGCGGGACCTAATCTGACGCCTCTAAGGTTGACCGTGGTGTTGGGAGGCGCTCTGGTTGACTTCTGTTTCCAGTGTTGGCAGCGGGTCGAGCATCTTTGCCAGGTGATGTGCCTGCCCTGCTTGCAGAAGCACACCCGGAGTGACTCACTGGTGATACCCTTCCTACAGCACCTGCTGGGAGCCGGCCGGAACTTCATGCCCCAAGTCAAAGCCATCTCTCTGCGGGACAGACCAAGGCTTAGAAGGGCAGGAGACTTGCCCAAGGTCACCCCAGGAGGAGCCAGAGCTGGGAGTCCCGTGCTCCTCGTGAGCCAGTGCGGCCCTTGTAGGGAATGGCGAGGATCAGGGCCAGGCCCGAATGTAGACATTGCAGCACTGTCCATGAGAGGCCGGACTGTCTTCTTAGGCTGACTGTCCTCGTGCATGGTGTAAGGACAGAATTGTGAGCAGGGTCTTCAGCAGGAGGTCACTTGTTTGGTTGAGGCTCTTGCCTGGTGCCAGGGAGTGGTGGGGGACGCTGGTCCTGTCTGGGGGAGGGCAGGTGGAGGGGCTCACAGTGGGAGGCTGCGGGTGTTGTCGGGAGTTTATGCCAGGCACTGAGCATCGTGGGGTTTTCTCTTGCATGTGTCGCTCGACCCCACAGTGGTCTGGGAGGGGGTGATCTCACCTTGCTGGCAGGAGGGAAGCCTGAGCTGCTGAGGGCAGGGCCTGAGCCCCAACACTTGCCTTCCGGGACTTTGCGTCTGTTGCGGTGGAAGGGCCCTGCAGTGGGGTGGCTCCCTGGCTCCTGGGCCAGTGCTGTGTTCCTCCTCCTGGAGCTGCTTCCTTCCCTGCAGGGAGACAAGGTCCCGGGGTGACCTCGGTGGAGGGGCAGGAAGGTGCAAAATAGGCTCCACGTTGTGTGTTCTTTAAGCAGAAAGAGCCGTTTGCTAAACAGCCATGGTTGGTCCCAGGCGCTCTGCTTCTCTGCCCCGCCGCTGCCTTCCTGGTGGCCGCCTCACCAGGCAGGATGGCACTTTCTGAAGCCGGCCTGCATGCTGTGAGGGGGCAGAGCCTTGGTGGTTGGCCGGGACCAGGGGAAGCCGCTGAAGGTTTGCTTTCTGCCCTGAGTACCATGTGGCTGCCCTAAAGTACACAGAGCGGAGCGGCGTGGTCCTCCAAAGCAGGTTTCCATCTCGGCAGGTGGGGGAGGGGAGAGTTAAGCAGAGCTGGGTGCCCCCCGGTGACTGCTGCAGAGCCCCTTCCGAGAGGAAGCCACCGGCACCTGCTGTCGAAGGGCAGGCCCTGGGAGGCACCTCTCCTGGGCCCTCCTGGTAGTGGCATTGCCTGTCCCCCTCAGGAGCCTGACTCTGGGTCACCTGGCAGGGCCTGATGGTTTATGGGGTTTGGGGACTGGGGGGGCTGACTCTCTGCTTCAGCTGAATCACGACACTTGCACCCATAGAGCAGGGACGGTCTGGAGGGGAAGCGCACAGTGAGCTCTCCCCTTAGTCTGCAGGGTCCCGTGGACGCCGGAGATGTAGCCGGTGCCCCGCGAGTCAGGGCGGGCAGCCCCCCGCTCCGGGCTGGCGTGCACACGTACCTGTGGAGACTGGCGACGGTGTTGCTGCCTGGGTAGCGATGGAGCTGGTCCTGGCTGGTCCTGCCAAAGGCCCTGTCGTCTCTGCGGCTCAGAGTTGGGGCTTTGTGCTGGGGCTCTGGAGGGGGCCTCCCAGGACCTTGGGAGCCTTTTGGCTCCTGGGTGTGGGCCCCGGAAAGTCCGTCCTTGCAGTGGGAGGAGAGGAGATGGGAACGGGTGGAGCGGCTAGCCCGGTGCCGCCTGAAGGCTTGGGGCTCTTCTCCCTGAAGGTCGCACCCCCGAAGGTGTCCCCTGGTGTGTGGCTCAGAGAGCCTAGAGCCAGGGGAAAGGGAGATCCTGTTGTTGCCTCAGTATGAAAATCTCTCGTAGCTTAGGACTTTATAGAACTTCTTTAGTCTTGCAGAACGTTGCAAAACAGTAACCAGAGTCGCTAGATACTCTTTCCCCCACCACACTTAGCAGTGGCTGAGATCTTGTCCCATTTGTGGGTGCCCCTCCCATACGCCTTGGGCATCTCGTGCGAAGCACTGGGGAGTGAGCGGAGCCCCGTGACCCTTCATGTGGACGCTTGGGTATGTGCTGTTTTCTAAGAACAGGGACCTTCTCTGAAATCAGTGCAGCACGAGGATAAAATGAGGGCACAGCATTGATACCTTTTTACTATCCAATCCATAGGGCAGAGTCCGGCTTTGTCAGTTGTGTGGATGATGGTATTTCTGGTCTTTTTTCCTTAATGCCAGATTTTGAAATTTAAATGAGGGCTGGAACCTGGACTGGTCAGACGAGTTCCTTCCTCCATAGGTGGGTGGGTGGTGGAGGATTGGGTTGCTTGGAAGGATACCTGTTTATGACCTTACTGTTTTGGTGGATGCGTGCTAGATAGAGACTGGTATTTGTCTCAGTGAATTCGGTTTTGTTTTTTGAGAATGCTTGAGATCTCTTTTTCCTGCATGAATTTGCTTTTCCACAGCAAACCTTTGTTCATTCCTGTGTGGAAGGAGTGGGCAAACACACAGCTCCTCAGCGGTGCCAGCCAGCCTTGGGGCCTTCAGTCATCTGCTGCTCCGTGCCCCTACTGGGTGCCAGGCCCTGTGAGGGCAGGGCGGGTAGGGCCTGAGTCACAGCTTGCTCGGGGCAGCGCCCTGGATGTCCGAGGAGGCCCCACTCCCCTGGGATTGTTTGGAGGCAGGAGGAAACCTGGCCTGATTCTGAAAGGGGTGCGTAGGAGACACGAATTTAAGTTAATGAGGCCTAAATGTAAGCCTCCCTCTGCTGCTTGGTCAGCATGTTCTGGGAGACTTGTCCTTACAGAGCGGCCTTCTACAGCCCGTAGCACAGCCTCCACCAGATGCGCCCGTCCCGGGCCCTGCTCAGCCCTGTCCGTAGTGCGGCGGCCTGTTTGTGGCCATTTTGGGGATGGCAGCGGGTACCTGTCACATCCTAAATTCAGAACGCCCCGCCTTAGAGAAAAGGCTGGGGTGGGAGCAAGCCCCTGACGGGCCTGCTGCCTGTTGGAGGCATTTTGCCAGGGGCTGGCACGCAGGAGCTCGAGTCCCTGGATGGAGCAGGGCTCCGTGAAGGGGTCTGTCCTGGGGTGGAGGACAGGACACCCCTGTTGCTTGGGGGCAGGAGTGCCATCAGCCTTGCGGGGGTCTTTTTGTCTTTAAGCTGAGTGTGGTGGGGTCGGCTCCAGGTAAGGGGACCGCAGGACCCTAAATCCCAGATGGGGACTGAGCCTTGGCCCCACGCTGGTGTCTGAAGCCCTTGCCAATTAGCATCCAGGTCCCACTCTGCGTGTGACAGTGCTCAGAGCCCTTCCCCCTGCCTGCTCTGCCATACTCACCTCCCAAGTTGTGGGAGGCCCAAATGATGTCTGAGGGGCCTGTGCGTCTTGGAGATGCAAGGGAGCTTGGCCCCGGTGAGGGCTGGAATAGCCCCACCACACGGGCCCGTCTCCGGACCTGCTCCAGTGCCTCAGTTCACTTCAGGCCTAGCCAGTCCCGGGGCAGGGCAAAGTGGATGCTGCCCTGTGGCCTGTTTGTGTGGAGCCCCTCCCCAGGGGCAGGGGAAGTGGAAGGGCTCTGTGGGTTCTGGAGCTGCCCTAGAGGTGTCCTTTGCAGAAGAGAGGCCAGTTGGCAACAGGGGCAACAGTGGGGTTCCTCTGGAAAGTTCTAATGTGTCTGCCCGAAAGGACAGCCCAGGCTACCCTGGGGTGGGAGGTGTGGGACAGGGCTCCAGTGCTGAGTCTGGAGCTCCAGGGACCTTCCCGGTGATGTGTGGGTCCTTACTCGTGACCACACGGAAGGTACCTGAGGCTTTGTCCTAGAGCTCCCCGTCATTCTGTTTTGTTGCGTGTGCTTTCAGACCTTGATTCCTAAGTCCACAGTGTTTGCAGGAGCACTGGGGACGTGGGCCCCACAACCCCACCTGGAAGCCCCTGTGGTCTGGGGGCTCCTGTCAGGCCATTTTGCAAGGCCTCGCGTTCTCACTGGTGTGCTCGGCGAGCACGTGTGGCTCTGGACGTGTCGTCTTTGCTTGCGTGTTGTGTCACTCACTCACCACCATCTTGGCAGACCTCGGTGTCGGTTTCCGTGTCTGTAGCTGACGAGGCCGGTGATGGTTTAGGTGGACACATGTCATTGCCACGAGCTTGACACCAGGCATCGCGTCTGCCCCAGCTTCCAGGGGAGTCCCAGCTGAGGATGGGGCAGAGCGCTGGCATCTTTAAGGCAAGAACTGTCTTGACCCTAAATGTTTCTTTGTTGAATTGCAGGAAGCTCTTCGTGGGCGGTCTTGACTGGAGCACCACTCAAGGTAGGTGGTGGGGACCGGCCTGCCTGCCAGGTGCCGCAGGCGGGCTTATGACCTTGGTCTTCAAGTTGTGTGAATTCATCTCTCCCTAGTACCTCGGGTTTTTTGTTTGTTTTCTTTAATTCTTGATTGATTTGTTGTCTTGAATCCCGGGGAGGAGGGGCACTTGACTGGGGGCTGTCCCGACGTCTCAGCGGAGTTAGGGGAGGGACGTGGAGGGCAGGAGACTGTTGGTGCCTGGAGGCTCGCTGGCGCAGCCCCTGAGCTCAGGCTGGAGGAGGAAGCAGCTTGTGGCCGCTGGCGTTCCTGGTGGTCACTGGTGCAGCCTTCCCAGTGCCTTTGGCCGCTGTCACTGTCAGTTGTACCCTTTCTAATTCGTGTGAAGACGTAACGCGTCCGGGTCTGGAGTCCCCGTCCTTTCCCGTGGGCCTCCTGTCCCGGACCATCTTCCATACCCCCCGGTCAGTTGCTGAGCCAGTTTACCAGTTGCTGGTTCCACACTTCCGGGTCAGGCTGAAGAACTAGGAGCAGGTGTGCCTGTCTGCTCCGCACACCAGGCGGGTGCCAGTGCTTAATACTCTGGTGTGTGTGTTTGTGTTCTTGTCCCAATCTCTGAGCAGAGACTCTACGCAGCTACTTTTCCCAATATGGAGAAGTTGTAGACTGTGTGATCATGAAAGATAAAACCACCAACCAGTCTCGAGGCTTTGGGTTTGTCAAATTTAAAGACCCAAACTGTGTGGGGACGGTGCTGGCCAGCAGACCACACACACTAGACGGCCGAAACGTAAGTGTCCTTCCCTGGAGTCCTGCCCCTCCGGCCCCGTCCCATGCTGCTCCGCCAGCCTGCCTCTGCCACTGGGCCTTGGTGGGTGTGCACGTGAAGGAGCGTTTTAGCTTAGAGGGTGCACTTAGAGGGTTGCAGCTCTGGGCTGAGGCACTTAGAGGGTTGCAGCTCTGGGCTGAGGCTGGATTTGGGTAAATTGACTGGAGGCGTGGGCTTGTTTGGGAGAGTAGCTTCGTATTTACCACGGACTCATTTGAAACCTCTACAGATCGACCCAAAGCCATGCACTCCCCGAGGGATGCAGCCGGAGAGGACACGGCCCAAGGAAGGATGGGTAAGGGGCTGGGCGGGGTGGGGCGGCCTCTCCGCATGTGCCGCAGCCCCAGCAGGAAGGAAATACGTACCTTTGATCTGGTGTTTTTGCTCATTACCATTGAGAACAGCAGAGGTCTTCTCGTTTGCTGTTTGAGCAGCGGAGGATTCAGAGGATTGCTCAGATTTATCCAGTGGTGTACATTTGTAGCCAAGAATATTCTTACTAGTCTACCTTGAAAACAAGGAAAAAACCTCCCACACCTGGGATCACGTGTTCCATTTTCTCCTCCGTGGTGGCTCCCACCCTGCCTGCCGGGGGCGGGGGGCGTGTCAGAGCACCCTCTGCCCCTGCTCCCCCCCTCCTTTCTGCTTGCTGGCCGCTCCCGTCCAGGTGCTGGCCGTGTCTGAGAGCCTGGTTGCTGGTTGTTGGAACAGCTGATTCAGAATCTGCCAGTGTGATGGCTCCTCAGGGATCCTCGGAGCTGTGTGTGGCCCCTGATGCTTGGCCAGTTGGAGCAGACCCGTCCTCTGTGCACCATCACCCATTCCTCTCCTTCCCCAACCCAGCAGGTCTCAGAGAAGACCATCATCCAGGACGCCTTTGTCCTAGCAGAAGGGCCTGGCCAGAGCTGGGCTGGAGGCAGGGCAGATGTCTGGCCCAGGGCCCGAGAACTGCATTTCTAGCAGGATCCGGCTGCTGCTGGTAGACAGGGGCTTCAGACCCTTAAAACAGTTTTTATTTTCCCAGTTTTCTATTGGGAAACTTTTTGGGAACTTTACAGAAAAATCAGAAGAGTAGTACATCAAACACCTAAACACATCGCCTAGATTTATCAGTTGTTAATATTTTTCTAGTTACCTGTATTTCTATCCCATCTCTTTCTGTATCTGTCACTCCTAAACTCGGGAGCGTGTATCTTCTAAAAGCATGTTCTCGCACATAACACCCATCCCCGCAGCGGGACCCCACAGCAGAAGCGTCAGCCGGGGCTCCCAGCACCACCTGTGTCCAGACGGGTGCACCTGGGGCTCGGGGGTCATTTCACAGGTGGCTCTCGTAGCTCTTCTCTTCAGACTGGAATCCCAGCCACGTTCAGATTCCATTTGGTTCCTCATGTCCTTCAGTCTCTTAGCAGCTTGACTGAGATGGAGCAGGCACTTGATGGAGTTTGACCCCTAAGTGTACCTGTGAGACCCTCGCCTGCCCCCAGAGTTCAGTGGCATTGGTCCAGAGCCATTGGGACAGTGCGGCCCGGGAGCCCCTTGGACAGGAAGGACAGGGTGTGAGGAGTGCAGTGGGGGGAGGCAGCCTCCCAGGAGCAGGGGCAGAGGTTCTGGTCCTCCTCCTCTACCCACAAGGGACAAGCGTGGGCAAGTGTTTCCCTCTGAGGTGTGAGACCCTCCCCACAGAGGGTGGAATCATTGGGGTCAGGCGAGGCGAGTGAGAACTTCCCATAGTCCTCTTTTGTTACCAGCTGAAAACCTGAGAAAACTGCTAGTTTTCATCGTTATGGCCACCAAACCCCAAGTCCTTACTTTGAGATCATAGAGCTATGTGCTCTCTAGCTATTGTGATTCAGGGTAATTCGATACAGGACCCACCACATGCTCTGCACATGCATTTGAGTGGTGGTGCTGGACCCCTGTCGCCCCGGGTCTCTGTAGGAAATTGAAAGAAGAGTTATGATAGTTGGCTGATTGTGTTTCTCTTTAGTGGGTTTTTTGGAGTGTTTTGGTCTGGCTTTTAGCTGGGTCTTAAAACCAGGCAGCGCACATCACATACTCACTATGGGGAGCGTTGTGAGGGTTTCCCACACGGACTAACCATTTTTTCCTTCTTAAAACAGCAGAAAGGACCCAGGAGCGATAACAGTAAATCAAATAAGATATTTGTCGGTGGGATTCCTCACAATTGTGGTGAGACAGAGCTCAGGGAATACTTCAAGAAATTCGGAGTGGTGAGTTGTCCCTGCACCAGAGCACGGCGGGTCAGGGTGGGAGCGGTGGAACCAGGTGTCCATGGAGGTTAAGCCTGGCAGCTCTCTCCTCTGGGCCTGTGTCTCCCCCAGAGCAAGCCAGAGCCCGGGAGAGGATTTACTGCTTTTTCAGGCAAACGAAAGCTCACCCTGCCGGTCTCCTGGAAGGCCCTTGTGATTGGTTGTGAGCGCCATGGTGTAAAGCACTAGATCGTGTTGGGGAGAAGCGGGGTTTGGCTTGCCCAAGGGAGCCAGCCTGCTGTCTCTCGTCACAGGAGGGAATGTCCTAGGCCAGGTCCTTACAGCAGCAGTGCAGACCACCAGCCCGGACCCGGAGCCACCCTGCTCCAGCGGCTCACGCTGTCCACCAGGCTGCCAGGCACCCCCTCCCTGGCCAGGGGTCGTGAGAGTTTTGGACCTGTCACCTGCTCAGTGTTTCCTCAGTGACAGCAGACCTTCTCCCAAGGCTGGTTTTGTTTCTGGAAGAGGCTGAAGTCTTTTAGACTCTTCTTTTTTTTTTAAGATTTTATTTATTATTCATTTGACAGAGACAGGCACAGCGAGAGAGGAAACACAAGCAGGGGGGGTGGGAGAGGGAGAAGCAGGCTTCCCGCTGAGCAGGGAGCCCGATGTGGGGCTCGACCCCAGGACCCGGGGATCATGACCTGAGCCGAAGGCAGACGCCCAACAACTGAGCCACCCAGGCGCCCATCTCCCCTCTGTTTTATTCCATGAAGTGGATTTTTCCTTTTTTATTTAGGGGAAATTTACATTAACAAAATTAATCATTTTATTTTATTTAAGATTTTATTAAAAAAATTTTTTTTTAAGATTTTATTTATTTGAGAGAGAGAGAATGAGAGACAGAGAGCATGAGAGAAAGGAGGGTCAGAGGGAGAAGCAGACTCCTTGCTGAGCAGGGAGCCCGACGCGGGGCTCGATCCCAGGACCCTGGGATCATGACCTGAGCCGAAGGCAGACGCCCAACTGACTGAGCCACCCAGGCGCCCCTCTTTTAGAATCTTATGGGGGTTTAGAGTTACTTGGGCTCCTACAGGAAACTCCGTTCTAGCAGGGCAGACAGAAGAGAAGACGGGGGCTAGCAAGCAAGCTCGTGTGGGGTGCTTGTGCCCCAGTCATCCGAGGCAAAGGCACGGGGTCACCCCACGCTCCCACCTGGTCACACACCCTGTTGGTGGGACAGCCCTGTTGCCTCACTCCCACCTGTTTGTCGGGGGCGCCTGAGTGTGCCGAGGACCTGGGCCAGGAATGAAGAGTGCCAGAGCACATGGTGATGTGTGCTCAGTGAGCCAGGGGCCTGGGAGAGAGAGGGGTGCTGGCTGGGCGGACATCTGTGAGGGAGTGCCAAGCCAAGCGCCGGTCAGCTGGATGGTCTTGGACCTGCGGCTGACCACCAGAGCTCTGGGTCCTTCTGTCCCAGCATCTTGGTTTTTGTCTGTGAATGGAAGGGAGCACTATGGGGCTGGGGCCTCCAGTGTCCGCCCCGTGAGCACTTGGGGCAGAGGCAGCATGCACTTCCCCTGGCCTCCTTCAGGCCCTGTGAGTCTCAGGCATCAAACCCCATAAGGCTGGCCTTTTGCCTCAGGACTTCCCTGAGGAGTGTCTGGAGATGTTCCCAAGCTGTCTGTTTGCCTCGGGAGTTTTGTGGTAGCCAGATGTGCCCGTGGCCGCCCGTGGCACCCGGATTCTCGAGCACCCGTCTCTCTTGCAGGTCACAGAAGTGGTTATGATCTACGACGCAGAGAAGCAGAGACCTCGAGGTAAAAGACATGGAGTTTGTCCTTGACCTCCCCTTCAGATGGCAAACTATTTCACAATTAGGTGGTGGTGGTAGCGAGCATTGCCTCAGAGAAGGATGATTTGGAGACATGATTAAAACGTAGGCCCTTCCTGTGCAGCCCCAGCCTGTCTGCTTCCCAAGGTCAGACGTCACCGTGTTTTTTTGGCTCGTTCTTTCGAAGTTTTTACAACTTGACATGAATTTCAATATGGTTCTGTTTTTAAATGCGTACTGAAAGATTGGTGCTTTTTTCAAAGGGTGCACTTGTCACTCAGGGCTGCGTCCTGCTTGGAGTCCCCTGCCCAGGCAGGTCTCATTCCATGGCGTCAGGCTAGGTCTGCCCCAGCTCGGCTTGAACGTGGACTTTCCTTTATCCATCCCATGCTTTTTTCCTGTTTTTCTTGTTCCCCTAAGCCCGTGGGGCAGCGGGAGGAGGGTGAGGAGCCGCCTCAGCGCATCCCCGGCGGGTTCCGGGAGCGGCCCACGCTCGCACGTCCAAATTGGTTTGTGGGGCTGGGACAGCGGGCACCCGATTTCCGTGCCCTTTTTTATGATTATTATTTCTTTTTCTTTTTCTTTTTTTTTTAATTTTTTTTGTGGCTGCTGCTGTTTGTGCCCGCCCGTCTGTTTTGGTTCATCTGCCGCTTTTGGACCGGCTGTGTGGGCTGCCCTGCGGTCTGGGCGCCGTGCAGCCCCCGCCCCAGCCCCGTCCGAGGCCCCCCTAGCGCACAGAGCCGGCGCCACCGCAGCATGCGCCCGCCATGCTGGAGAATAGTTTGCCATTTGAACTTCCATCCTTCTCTTCCTCCATGATAAGTGACGTATCCTCACTTCATGTCGATTAAGCTGTTAAGTCTTAGCTTAACTTTAACGTAGACATACATGCTTAGTGACGTACTTAAGTGTCTCATAGTAAAGTACAGTAACGTTAAGTAAGTTGTTTTTCCTTTTCTCTCTGTGAATTGTTTGTGATTAACGATATCTCTTTAGATTTCTCTTCTCCAGGTGCTAAATTATATCACACAGGTACAGGCCAGTCCCGCAGTCAGAGGAGGGAACGGGCTTTGCTCCAGTGGGGTGTAAACGAAGTTTCAGTGTGTTTCTGTCCGCTTCCTCAGTGGTGATGTCGCCTCTTGACAGACAGATGCACCCCTAGACGCCCCGCCCCGGGGCTCCTTACCCAAGACTCACCGCCTCTTGCGCTATAACGGACCACGCGAGCCCTGTGGTTGCAGACACTCCTGCACTTGGAGAAAATGTTAACTTTTTAACATGCTGTTCATCACCCATGTTGTGTTCCACCATTTGCCTCCGGTCTTGTGAAACTTCAGGACTTGGGAATCCTGAGGGCTGCTCTTAGAGTCATACCCCCAGTCGGCCCCCTGAGGCCTCGCCCTGGGCCTGGGGAGCACGTCGAGCCGCCGTGGGCTGGGGGGTGCAGGCAGGAGGAGCTGGTGGGGAGAGTGCTTCGGGCTTGACCTTGGGACCCATGTTCCGTGGGGGCTCACAGTGTCCTCCACCTCAGAGAGTCCCTGCGAGCACGAGGCCAGCAGAGGGCGGGAGCGACAGAGGGGCATCCCAGAGAGCTCATCCTGCTTTCTCCCCTTCCCAGGTCTTTTCCAGGGCTCCACCTCCCTCCTCCTTCCTCCCTCTTGGCCAATCCAAGACAGTGTCCCTGTCCCAAGGGTTCTGCATGTGTCTCACTGGGGACAATGAGGCCCTGACCTCACCCCGGCCGCTGCCGTTGCTCGCCTCACACCTTCCTCTTTGGCGATCCCCCGCCCCGGCTCCAGCTTCTGTCTCCTGTGTCTTGCTGTCATCGTTCTGCAGCCGTGTTTCTGCTCCTCCTCGCACGCCGTGTGCAGGTTCTTGTGTGAGCGTGTGCATAGTCACACTCAGACACACGCGCGTGCAGAGACACGTCCGAAGCCTCTGAGTCCCGGGTGTCCCTCCCTGCTGGTCTGTCATCCCCAGGTTTCTGAGCTGTCTTCTCCCCCCACCCCCTACCCCAAGGTTTTGCCTACAGTCTTCCCACACGGCCCAGCGCCTGCAACCTCAGCGTCCCTCTCCCGTCCTCTTGAGAGGCCTCGGGCTTGGCTGCTCCTTCCCGGTGCCCCCTCCCTGCCCGCTCTGGCCCTGCGGCCCTTGGAGGCCCTGTCGGGCGCAGGCCTGACCCGGGCTCTTTGCACCGGCCAGGTCATGCTCTGTCGCTCTGTCCCCGCCCGCACCCCGTGCCCTTCTTCAGCCCGGTCTGGGCGCTCGGCCCTTCCCCTCACCCGTCTTTTGTTCTCCCGGGTCTTCCGGCAGCTGGCTGCCGCACGCGTCCTTTTGTGCTTGGAGCAGATGGGCCCCGGGGAGGCAGTGCAGTCGGCTGAGGACCAGACATGCCACCGTAGCTGGGCGGTCACACTCACCCAGACCAACCAAACTTCGTTTATACTGCCACTTTCTTGTGTTTGGGAAAGGCTAAATTTTTTCCCCTTTAAAATGCTCTTTTTGATGACACGGTGCCTCTTGCTCTTGCTGCCGACAGCAGAGTTTGACCTGCTGGAACCCACTGTGGCCTGTATCTTTGTGTATTTTACTTACGTAGCTGCGTACAGATAGATAAGTGTATACACACGTATGTTCCTGTGCAGGACTCCTTGGGCTTACCCAACGGTGTTGGATAAGCTTAGCGGGGCACTAACTGTAGAGACCGTACTCCTGTTTAACGCGCTAGAACCATAGACGTCAGCACTAGTTGCAAAGCGAATTGCAAGCCGAGGGGGAGAATCTCGGGTTTCAGAAAAGCAGCCGCGCACCCACGGCACACACCCCGCCGGAGGCGGAGCTCGCTGGAGCTCGCGGCCCGCTGCCCTGCTGCAGGGGTGCGCCGCGGCCCCCTCCACAGAGTGCTCTGGCACTCTCCGGGCGCACCGGGCCTGCCCCTGGGCCAGGCCCCCGCCCCTCTCCTGCCCGGGCTGCCCCGTCTGTGAGGCCAGCCCCTGGGGGTTCCCACCGTGTCTCCACGTGGAACCCCGCCTCCATCACCGGCTCGGGCCCCGCCCTGCAGCCTCACATACTCCGCTTCCCTGAAACCCTTGGACGACCCCTCGGCCCGGCCCTGATACTGTTCATCATCCTGTTTTGTGTCACAACGCCCTGCTACCTTGATTCACTCTTCGTCGTTGGCTAGGTTTTGGATTTATTACTTTCGAGGACGAACAATCAGTGGACCAGGCTGTCAACATGCATTTTCACGACATCATGGGCAAAAAAGTGTGTAGTTGTAGTTTTATTTTACCTTAAGACCAAACCAAGTCTTAGGCAACTTAGGGATTTCACTGGAAATGACAATTCCTGAACGGAAGAAGGGCCGGGCAAGTCGACCTGGGGCATTGTGCTGTGTGGGCTTGGGCCTGCTCCTGCAGAAGCAAGGGGCCCTCCCTGCCCGAGGGTTCTGCCTGTGGCGTGGCGTCTCCCGTCTCGCCAGCTCTGCTCCCGGAGCCCTCGCTCTGGATCACCGGGGACTGGTGGGTGGGGTGGCCCCCCGGCCGAGGGGCACGGTCTGCGGGGGCCTCCTGGGCTGGCCTCCAGTGAAATTGCAGGTTGCCTCAGGCTTGGTTTCCGTGACCACTCCTTCAGATGTCTGTCCTGCATTCCAATTGCCTCCTGCCACCCCGTGATGTGCGGTGGGCAGCGGACCTCTGACCACAGGTTCCGTGTCAAACCGAAAGGGACGTAAACATCCTGAAGGATTGGTTTTTTTTACTTGGGTCACTTACTGTGAAACTCCGGTCCCAACCACATGCTCTCGGTAGTACTTAACTCCATGCAGTCAAGTGACCTCTGGTTCATCTTCATACTGTGTTGCTGCCGTGGAGGCAGGCTGGCTCAACGTGGCCCCTGCTCCTCATTCCACTGGGCCCCAGAGCGCTCTAAAGCGAATCGCGGGTAGAAATTCTGCAGTGGGGGATCCCTGAGAGTTAGCAAGAGGCTTTGGGTCCACACGTTTGCAGGACTCCTGTCCCCGTCCTTCTGAAAGCGGCTCTGCACGCCCGGGCGGTCCCCGTGGGGGCCACACAGGCAGCATTTCCTTGCGCCCTTTGACATGCCCTGCCCTTGGGACAAGACCACGGCCACTTTTGTCAGTTACGACATTGTGGAGGGACCAAGGCACCACAAGTTGGCTGCCTCCCCAGCGCTCCCACCCCAGCCCCACAGCCCATCCCCGAAAGCTGATAAACGCAGCCGTGCGTGGAGCTGTAGTTACATACAGGTGGCTGAGGTTTTGTTGCAGGCTTCATTAATTCCGTTTGAACCTGACTAAGCAGCAGGCACACGTCCCGCTCCAACGTTCATTGAAGCTTTTAGTTTAAAATTAGCATGCAGATTTCAAGGATGCATGCCAGTTACGAACACAAGTTCAAAGGAGTCCACGTTCAATATTTTAAGGTACTGTGACACTTAAAACTTGGAGGAAGCCTGTCCTGCTCTAGGGGCAGAAAGGCTGCTAAGTGCACGGATCTGCTCCATCTTCAGGCGGCCGACCCCCCCCCCCCCCCCCGCACCGGTTTTGTAGGACGCATCGGTGTCTGAGTCTGGTCTGCACGGAGCACAGAGCGGAGACTGAGGTGGCTTCTCGGTGTGGGGCTCAACTTCTAAAGTAAGGTGCACACGTGTGGGAGCCCGGCTCCCGGCAGCAACCCCCGGCCTCGCCCTGTTCCCCTTGCCCGACCTTCACTGGTGGGCAGGCCACAGCAGCCCCTTGGTTCCTTAGTGGGGGTTCGCCTCCGTGAGGGGCTTGGGTCCCACTTCTAATTAAAACCGGAGTGCCAGTGGCTGCGTCCAGGTTCTGAGAGGAAGAGGGTAAAAATTAAAAAAAAAAAAAAGTTTAGAAGGGCTGCTCTGCTTTGTAAGCAGGAACCAAATTCCCTTAAGGAGAGTATGTGAAGACTCATTAATTTGAGTTCTTTGAAACGGGTCCCTTGGTCCTGCTGTCACATCGCCTTGAGCTAACGGGGATTTTGTTCCTATCCGTGGAGTGTCCTTGGGGCATCAGGAAGGTGGGATCTTGGTGCCTCTGTCCCACTTCCTGTTTGTTCTCCAACAGGAAGGGGTCTTAAGGCAGAACCGATGGAATTCTGAATACATAATGCTTAGCTCACCAGACTTGAGACCCCAAGGATGACTCCAAGTGGATTTATTGTCTCTTCCTTCCCATTAAAATTTATCATAAAAAAAAAAAAAAAAAAAAAAAACTGGAGACTCCAATGCTGAGGCAGCCCTGTAATTGGGGGATTTCGGGTTGTCAGTCTGCCCGCATCTTAGAAGCTGCGTAAGGGAGGGAGCCTTCTGGCGGCCACAGAGCTCCATGCTAGGAGGGCACGCACGGTCCCTCCCGCTGTCCCAGCCCCTCCCAGTGCTGTGGCTCCTGACAATGTCCAAAAGAGGCAGGGTCCTGGGCTGCTGACCTAACACAGTATGAAGATTGCTTACTGATTCAAATGTCCATTTTATTGCATGTTTGTTTACTTTTTTTGTTAGATGTAATGTAAGATTCTCTTTATCACATCCATTCCCTCTGACATTATTTTGAGTTAATTGAGATTCTTTAAGCGTTAGCCTGGGGAAGGTAAGTCTTTATCTTCCATTAGACATTTTAAATAAAAAACCTAAGTAAACCAACTGTGTTTCTCAGGTATGAGCTTAAAACGCAGGCAGGGTGGGCGGACTCTGGAAAGGTCCTGTGTGTCTGTTGGCCTGGCTCCCCCCAGCGGAGGTCCCTCCTCCACCGCGGTGCTCGGACAGCATCCGGCTCCTGCCGCGCTGGGGCCCTGGAGAGGCCTGGGGAGAGGGCTGTGATTGTTCGGTCGGTCCTGGTCTCTGTGTCCCTGGGGTGACGAGGCCATTGAAGGAGAAAGCTGTCATTTCACCTTGACTGAAAGACCCTTGTCACACAAAACTCTGAGGGTTCTTGGCCTTCGGTCCGTGCTCTGCAGCGGGTAGGGCTTAACGTGTCTTACGGTTGCATCCGTTGTACCTGAGAAACATGTTCTAAGCAAAAAAGAAAAAAAAGAAAGAAAAAGGAAAATTATAAATTTTTAAAGAAAAAAAATACTGGCCTAAATAAGGTTTATAGTTAAGTATTTAGTTTTAAGTCATAAGATGCTAAGTGTAGTCGTAAGTTATCTTGAGGGTGTGTCTGAAGGGAAGGGGGTCCAGGACCCTCGGCATCTCCCTAAACCAGAGCTTCGTTTGTCTAGGTGGAAGTTAAACGGGCTGAGCCACGGGACAGCAAAAGCCAAGCGCCGGGACAGCCAGGTGCCAGCCAGTGGGGCAGCCGGGTCGTGCCCAATGCCGCCAATGGCTGGGCAGGCCAGCCCCCACCCACATGGCAGCAAGGATACGGCCCGCAAGGTACGGTCCAGCACCCAGAACCGGTCGTGCCCCAGACGGCCGCCTCAGGGAGGCCTGCTTGGAGGCCGGGGTCCCAAGCCTGAGGGGCGGCAGCTCCCCACAGCTGCGCACGCCCTTTTCCTGCAGACACGGCGGAGGTGGGACGTGCTGGCTGGACAGGTGTGCAGGCCTTTGAGGGAGTACCTGAGGGCAGAGGTGGGGCTCCCTCCCCGCCCAGCCCCAGGGTCGACCCACACAGCTGTGCGCTCATCCCAGTAGCCAGCACGTGGGCTCTGTGCTGGGTACCGGTTAGCGCCGGAACCTTCCAGCAAAGCCCCAGAGGGGCGCTGTCCAGTCAGCTCACAGATGAGAGAGGGGCTGGCTTCCCTGTGCTCACCTGGTCCACCTGAGCGTGGTGTGACCCTCGGTGGTGTGCTTGGGCCACAGCCAAGTTCCCCACCTGCGGTTTGGGCAGACGGGTCTGACTGTAGCCAGCAGAGCTGCCGCGAGCGTCCTCGCCCCACGTGCCGTGCTGTGGAGGAAGGGCCACGCAGGTCTGAGGGAGCAGTCGGATGCTGCGTGCGGCCCGCGTGCTCTCCCTGTGGTCCGTGGCCGTGCCGGGCATTGCCTCTAGGGGGAGGCTAGGAGGACCTGGTGGGTCGTGGGTCGTGGAGTCTGGCCATTTCAGTGGCTCAGATCACATGCTTTTAGGGAGACTGGGGCTTTTGGCCGGCCTCTTGGGCCCTCTGAATCTGCTCCTGCTCCCGGGGCTCTGGGCTGTCAGGGCGTCTGTGTAGGGTCAGCGGAGTGGTTAAGGACAGCTTGGCAGAAGGGTTGAGGTTCCCAGGGGCCCCAGGACAGGATCTGGTAGCCACCGCCTCCTTTAGAAACGCAAAGAAGGGACAGTGTCCAAGGAGGGGCAAGAGGAGGCCAGGTAGGTCTGTCTGCACCCAGAGGCACCTGGCGCGCTGCCCCCAAAGCTTGCAGATTGGTCTTTTTAAAAATATTTTATCACAAAATAAAACACAGCCGGGGCGCCTGGGTGGCTTAGTAGGTTAAGCATCTGCCTTTGGCTCAGGTCATGATCCCAGGGTCCTGGGATCGAGCCCCGCATCGGGCTCCCTGCTCCGCGGGAGGCCTGCTTCTCCCTCTCCCACTCCCCCTGCTTGTGTTCCCTCTCTCACTGTGTCTGTCTCTGTCAAATAAATAAATAAAATCTTTGTGCCGCAGTGGGGGAGGGGGACAAACAGCCATAGGAGACCAGGTACTGAGGCCAGAAACTTTTGCCCACTAGCACTTGGCTGGAAGCCGGCCCAGGGCTCCCACCACCCAGCCTAAGGTCCCACCTGTGCATCTGAGCCCCTGGTCCGTGGGGGTCCCCTTGACCCTTTCTGATGGGTTCTGTTGAAGAGCCAGGGCCACCTGACCCACGGGCTTCTCTTGGGGATCCTTCCCCTGTAGAAGCAGGACGTGAGTGGCAGCCCTTTGCCCATACCCAGGTGCCTGTGTTCCTGGTCCACCACGGGCTCCTCGGATGCCTTCCTCGGGCTGGGACGTCCTCCCTGTGCCCGCGGTACGGCAGGACGCCAGGCCCCTGGAGTGTGTTTCCAGGAGGGCTTTGCCAGCAGAGCGAGAGCTGTTGGGGTGGGTCAGCTGCCAGTCTGGGACATGGACAGGACACCAACCACTCTCTTTGTTTTCCTGTTTAGGAATGTGGGTTCCAGCAGGACAGGCAATTGGTAAGTCCTTATTTGTGGGTACCCGAGAGAGAACGGAGTCTGAAATGGGGTGGGACCCCGGGGGGGCCCGGGCACTGGGAGCTGTGTGCGCCACACCCTTTCCCCCTCACCCACCTCTGCGTCCTGTGTTCCAGGTGGCTATGGACCGCCGCCTGCAGGGAGAGGAGCTCCCCCACCGCCCCCACCATTCACCTCTTACATCGTGTCCACCCCTCCTGGAGGGTTCCCCCCTCCTCAGGGCTTCCCACAGGGCTACGGTGCCCCCCCACAGTTCAGTAAGTCCCGTGGGCCCCTGGAGTGGGGCGGGGGGCCCGTGCTGAGATGCGACCCTGCAGCCTGGGCCCGGCACTCGCTCGGGGCACGTGGCTGGGGCGCTGCCTGCCCTGGTCCGCCTGCTTGCGGGGCCGTGTGCGAGGCACGCCTGGTGTGTGAGGGAATGTGCGCCCTCGCTGGGGCATCTGGATCTGGTGGTGGGACTCAGCAGTGAGGGGCTGGAGAGCGTCAGGCGCTCTCGTCTGCTGGGCTCTGGTGCGGCACCTGGGCCTCGGGCAGCTAGTGCGCCTGCGAGGCTCCGTGCTCGCCCTTGGTGGGAAGGTGGCCCTGCGGCCTCGCCTGGCGCACCGTGGCTGACTGCTGTCACTTTGAGTGCCAGGCGGCCAGCCCAGACGGTCCCGCGCTCCTGCTGGAAATGGAAAGTGCTTGGGGGTCTGGGTGTGTTCTGTTGGAGGGCACCCCGGCGCAGGTCAGGCCACGGGACAGCTGTATGGCCCCTCACCGTGGCCTGGACCACATCTGATTTTAGTTGTAAGCAGGAGGTGGGTGGATAGAAACGGGGTTGTCGAGCCCCAGGACAGAGGGGAAGGCTTGCCGTGATGGAAGGTTGGCGCTGGGTCTGGCAGGCGGGTTTTGTCCTTTTCAAGAGGACGCCAGTGCAGCCCCTGCCTGTGGGGTCCCTGCCGAACGCTCGCTGTTGGGGGTGCGACAGGCCGCCCCAGGCCCACACTAGGGACATCCCCAAGGCCTGGCCGCTCGGTGGGTTCAGCAGGAAATGGTGCGGCGGCTTCTGGTGGGCTGGGCTGTGGTCGTGCACCGTGTCTGTGTCTTCCTCTCCTGTTTGTGTGCAGGTTTTGGCTATGGGCCTCCGCCTCCACCACCGGATCAGTTTGCCCCACCGGGGGTCCCTCCTCCACCTGCTACTCCGGGGGCAGCACCTCTGGCTTTCCCTCCGCCCCCGTCTCAGGCCGCCCCGGACATGAGCAAGCCTCCAACGGCCCAGCCGGACTTCCCCTATAGTCAGTACGGTGAGTTGGAGACCTGCAGGCGCGGCCTGGGGCCCGGGACCTGGCCCCACCATCTCCTGCCTTCCTCCCTGCCAGCTGGAGTGTGGCGGGAGGCCCGCTGTGCAGGGGCTTGTTGCAGAGGGTCAAGCAAAATGAAAAGCAGGATTTTGGTGTCTCGGGTTTTGGGTTTTGGGTTTTGGCTAGGGAGCTAGTCTTAGAAAAGCATCGATCGTGCAGCAGGTGTCCAGGCCGCGTGGCTTCGGGAACCCGAAGCTGTGACAGGGGCCCTAGGAGGATGACGCGAGGGCCTTTGGGGCACCCCCAGCAGGCCCTGTTCCTGGTTGTCTTGTTTTCTTCTGTGTGCAGAGCGCAGGGCGGGCACCTGTGGGCCACGTGGCTTCGTGGCTCTGGTCAGTGGCAGGCATGGGCTCGGGTGTTACCGTGTGCTTCACTCGAGGGGCTGGTCATGGAGGAGTTGCTTCTGAGCCTGGGGTCTACAGGGTGGCGACCTGTGGCCTGTGTGGGAGGAGCTCATGTGAGGACAGGGTTAGGCCCGGTGTCCGGGGGTCTCCTGCTGCCTCTGCTGGGCCACGCGGGTGGGGCTGCCTGTCGCCAGGGCTCCCAGGGCTCTGCTCTTCCCACTTCATTGCTCAGACGGTTTGGCCTAAGACCGCAGTGCCTGCAAGTTGAAGCTGTCTTGCCCTCGAATGCCATCCGTGGCCAGCTGCTCCCGGCTGCCCAGCATCGTGCGGTCTTGTCCCCCTTGCCGCTGTGCCCGGCAGCGCTCCCCGAGTGCATGGGTTGTCAGCACCCCCTCCCCCCCCCCAGCAGTTCCTGCTGCGTGTGGCGCGCGTGAGCAGCCCTGGGTGGGGGTGTGCCGACCGCCAGCGTGGCCCCGCCCCTCTGCTGAGGCTGCCCTGGGGTAGTCACCCTGGTCTCGTCTCTTGCCAGGCCTGGGTACCTATTCTCAAGACCCGTCAGGCTTCGGGCCCATACTTTGTTTACACTCTTATGGTCAGGCTGAGCAGTGATGTGGCCTAGGTAGGTGGCACCTCCTCATCCACGATCCCCACTCTGTCTGCACCCGGGCAACAGACATCGCCTCCTCTGCCGTCCTGGGCGGGGGTGGACCTGGCGGTGCCCTCGGGACGGGGCCCTTGCCGGGGCGAGGATCTCGACTGGCCACGGCCCCATGGCCCCAGGAGCTCTGCTTCTGCTGGGCAGCAGACACAGGCACCCTGTGCCTTTGTGCACCCTCTGTTGGGGACCCAGGGGCCCCGGGACACGTCTTCATCCTGGGTGTGCAGTCTGGTGCCGTTCCCCTTTCCAGAAGTGCCTCCCATGCCTTTAGAGGTCAGCAGTGCAGGGTCTAGGTCCTGTTTGGGGGAGGGACCTGCCCGGCCCAGGCAGTCCCTGCGGGCATGGCGTCGGGCACGCAGTCTTGCCCCACACCCGCCGGTTCTATGGAAGCTGCCCGCTTGGGTCAGCTCTGCAGGGAGGACTGTCTCGAGTCTGGCGGGCATCCGGGGGGGTTGCAGGGGGAGGCCTGGCGCTAGTCTAGTCTGAGCTTTTCTTAAATTCTGGGGGCTGTGTCTGAGTTCCCCACGCATGCCACTCAAAAATAAACTTCTGGAAGCCCTCGGGCCACCGAGCCAGGCCAGGAGCTCTCACGTCTCCAAGCTCAAAGGTTTCCAGGGGCTCAGATGGGCTGCTAGGGCCCAGCCCCGGGTCCTTGGGAATGGGTGGGGAGGCGAGGCCGAGCACGGACCAGGGGGCTCCTCGAGGTCTCTGAGCTACTTTTCCTTCTGTGCGGAGACAGCGGTCGGGGTCCTGTGGGGGAGCAGGGTGGGCTGTGCGGGCGTGGACCCCTCCTAGGCCGTCGGCGCAGAGCTGCGGTCCCGCCCCCGGCTCACTGGGCTTTTTCCCTGCAGGTTACGGACAGGACTTGGCTGGCTTCGGACAGGGCTTCTCAGACCCCAGCCAGCAGCCCCCCTCCTACGGGGGCCCCTCGGTGCCAGGCTCGGGGGGCCCCCCCGCCGGCGGCAGTGGCTTTGGACGAGGTCAGAACCACAACGTGCAGGGATTCCACCCCTACCGACGCTAGCCGGACGGTGCCCTGCGGACGCCGGGGTGGCTGAGACCCAGGATTTAGAACTTGTGAACTCGTGACAATCACAAACTTGGCAGAAAAATAGCGACTCGACGGTGGGGGGCGGGGGGCGAGAGGCTTTTGGAGGCGGCTGTGGGTGTCTGGACTGAAGTTTTTAAATATATTTCTTTCTCTAACCCATCAGCACAATAAAAAAAAGTCACTGGTTCAACAACAGGGTTTAAAAAAAAATGTCTTCAGCTTTAATTCAAAACTTCAGGTTTCTTTTTCTTCCTTTTTTTGAAATTATTTTCCTGAGCCTTTTGTTTTACCGTATATTGTAAACTTTTATGTTAAAGAAGAAAAATATACATTTACAAATTGTGAGATTTTTAAGAGAAATTTTCTACGATGTATACTGGCTTATTTTTTAATTTAAAGCAGGGTTTCCGTGGGCACTGGTGGCAGCGAGGGGCGTGTTCAGTGCCTCACTCCCGGCTTCGAGGGTTGGGGCTCGTCGGCCCAGAAGCTCTGGGAGCTTACAGAAGAAGTCTACTGAGCGTGTTTTGTTTTTTGTTTGTTCCTTGCTTTTGTCGACTGACCTGCCCGGCGCCGTCTGCAGGTGCGCTGTGGGGGCCACGCCCGCCCAGCCTCTGCCGGCGCCGCCCCGCGTCCGCCCCAGCAGCAGGGACAAGGAGGCCTTGTCAGCCGCTCTCCCGCGCACGTGGTTTCAGGGCGTCCCCACTGACCAGTTTGACCCTGGTTTGAATAAAGAGAAGTGCGTTTGGATTAGAAACCCACGTTGTGTCCTTTTATTCCCTCCCTGCTCTCGGCTGTGCGTCCCCACGGGAGGACCTGCGCTGGCCCTTGGCCTCCTCAGCAGTCTCAGGCATGCGCAGTCTGCGCCACTGGGGAGCCCGGGGCCCCACCTCGGTGCGCCTAGGGTCTTGGCGTGGTGGCGGACATGGATTTTAGGATGGCCTGGGGCTGGGGGGCCTGGTGAGAGCTGCAGATCCAGTGTGAAGGGGCCCAGGTTCCAGGGCTCAGGCCACTTGCTGGGTGCCAAGGGAAAGATGCCTGGACAGATCTGAGTGGGGACCGGCCAGGCCTCCCCATTCCTGTGGGAGTGACGCCTGGATTGTGGCCTTGGGTAGGCCACTCACCTTTCCACAAACTAGGCTGTTGACATGGGTGGTGTGGGCGTCGGGACACCCAGTCGAGGGCCAGCAGGAGGCAGCATGGTGGCCTGAGCCCCTAGAGCTGAAGGGAGATGCCCTAGGGGCACCTGGTGGGGCCTGGCCATCCTAGCTGGGACCCCCAGCCAGGGGGAGGAGGTGGGCTGGGATGAGTTCCAGCATCCCACAGTGGCCACTCCCCTGCCTGACACACACGGCCTGGCCGGCAAAGTGTCTGCCAGGCCTTTCCAGCCCTGGACATTCTGGATATTCCGTTCCTGTCCATGTTCCTGACTGCCTCTCTCCCCAGATAGGAGGGGCTGTGACCGTCAGTGACCACGGAGGGGAGTCTGAGCTCACTTGCACACAGGACTTCTTTGGCTCTGGCCTGGCCTCTCGGCAAGAGTGGGAGAGACTCCTGGGCCCGGGGGAGGCTGGCCCTGGGAATTAGGAACAAAATGGGTGAATCCTCCCGTGTTCTAGTGTGTGGGGGCCTGAGGACTGCTGTCACAAACTGCCACCAACTTAGGGCTTAAACCGCTCACGCTCATGTCCTGACAGTTCTGGGCTCAGAAGTCCTAAAACCCCAGCGCAGGCAGGGCTGTTCCCCCCCGGGAGACCCAGCTCCGGCCTTTTCCTGGCCCGCGGCTCCCCCTGCAACTCCATCCTCACCACCAGCAGCGCGGGGTCTGCCGATCTCTGGGACTCCCACCCTCTGCCTCCCTCTCGTGAGGACCTCATGAGGACGCCGGGTCCCCCCCTCCTTGGGGACCCTGACAAGGTCCCCTCTGCCGCGTGAGGGGACACGTCCTGGTTCCCAGTCTTTGGAGGCCGTTATTATGTCATTCTAAAGACCACCGTCAAGATTTTGAAAACGTAAAAAGAACAGGGATGGGCGCCGGGGGGCTTAGTTGGTGAAGCATCTGCCTTCGGCTCAGGTCATGATCACAGGAAGCTGGGATCAGCTCCACATCGGGCTCCCTGCTCAGCGGAGAGTCTGCTTCTCCCTCTGCCACCCCCCGCGCCCCCCGCTTGTGCGTGCTTGCACTGTCCTTCTCTCTGACAAATAAATCTTCAAAAAAAAACTATTAAAATGTAAAAAGAGGGGCACCTGGGTGGCTCAGTCGTTAAGCGTCTGCCTTCGGCTCGGGTCATGGTCCCGGGGTCCTGGGATCGAGCCCCGCATCGGGCTCCCTGCTCCGCGGGAAGCCTGCTTCTCCCTCTCCCTCTCCCCCTGCTTGTGTTCCCTCTCTCGCTGTGTCTCTCTCTGTCAAATAAATAAATAAAATCTTAAAAAAAAAAAATGTAAAAAGAACAGATTCATCCAAAATGCACCGGATGCCTCCAATGTACCAGCCTGAAATAAAGCAATGGACAGAACAGCCAGAAACCCCCATCCGCACCCACGGCCCAGCTCATGTTCTGGGGCAGGGAAGGTGGGTTTAGCTCGAAGGCCAAGAGAGGGGTGCCTCCCCTGCAGTGCTCACCCCGCCACCCACCAGCCCGGTTTACAGGAGGCACTTCGGGCCGGTGCCCTCCATCCCTACTGCATGTCATCACAGGGTGAAACCTTAGCTCCTTTCTTTTGTGAAATTAATTCTCTGCAAAATGAAGGTTCCCTGGCAAAAGGGCATTATGCAAACGAGGCAGGGATTTCTGGCCGGCCAGGGGCTCCTGGGACCACACCTTACTCTGGTGAGCACTGGCAAGCCCCTCGCGTCCCGAAGGACACATCCTGAGGCCCCCAGACCTGTGCTTGTTCTCCACCAGGGACAGGGAGGGACGTCCCCTTCTTGGGTACAGTTTAACGGGCTCTAGCCACAGGATTGTGGAATCGGCTGAGGAGGCCGGGCTTCCTTGGAGACTTCCTGTTCCCTCCAGGCCAGCCCCAGCTCCCCACAAAGCTACGGGTCTCAGCCAAACCCCACCCAGCAATCTGGGGGAAGGGCCTGGAGGCTCAGGGGCTGCTGGTCCCACAGGCCCAGCACTCAGCTGGGTGGGGCGGAGGCACCTGCCTCATGCCTCCCCTCCCGCAGGCTCTTCGCATGCTCACCCCGTCCAACGGGAACTCCCCTCCCGGTGCCTCTTCCATCCCTGCCGTTCAGTGTGGTTACCCATATGCTCGGGGTTCCCACTGCCGTTTCACCTGTTTTCTGTATGCTGTGTATCTGTTTCTTGTTTCTGTATGCCTCTGTTGAGGTTTTTGCATTAAATGAGTATCTTCTAGTGTACCGTTTTAATTAATGATTTTTTTTTCGTACCATATATATGTTTGTTTGTTTGTTTGTTTTTAAAGATTTTATTCATTTATTTAACAGAGAGAGACATAGCGAGAGCAGGAACACAAGCAGAGGGAGTGGGAGAGGGAGAAGCAGGCCTCCCGCTCTGCAGAGTGGGAAGCCCGATGCGGGACTCGATCCCAGGACCCTGGGATCATGACCTGAGCCGAAGGCAGACGCCCAACGACTGAGCCACCCAGGCGCCCTATGTTTGGTTTTTTATTGTGACAAAACATACATTAAGATTTGCCATCATAACCGTCTCTAAGCGCACAGCTCAGCGGCATGAAGCCCACTCACACCGTCCTGGGACCGCCCCCACCCTCCGTCTCCAGAACGTTCCATCTCCCTAAACTGAGACTCTGTCCCCGTGAAGCACGGACTCCCCACCCCCACCCTCCGTCTCCAGAACGTTCCATCTCCCCACACGGAGACTCTGTCCCCACGAAGCACGGACTCCCCACCCCCTGCCCCAGCCCCGGCTCCCACCCTCTCCTCTCTGTCTGTGTGGACGGGACTCCTCCGGGGACGTCCTGGGAGTGGGGTCCTGCGGGATGTGTCCTTCGGGGTCTGGCTCCTCTCGCTGAGCCCGGTATCCCCAAGGTCCCTCCACGTCGTGGCAGGTGCCGGGGTCCCTTTCCTTCCTGAGGCTGGAGCGTGTTCCCGCGTGGGGACGGACCGCGCCGTGTGTACCCCTCATCTGTGGGTGGACACTGGGGGGCTTCCCCCTTCGGGCCGCGTGACCCCTGAGGCTGTGCGCAGGTGACTCTGCTCGAGTTCCTTGGGGCGACAGCCCTACCGCCTGTCAACGTTAGACCCGCACACGCGTTACAGAAACCTAGCAGTGCACGGCGGTGCGTGACTTCGGGTGCTGAAGGCTGGCCGGTCCCCATCAGGGGCGCCTTCTCGGAGCACCCTGCAGAGCCCGCGTCCGGCCCGCCGGCCCCCCGGCTTCTCCTCCTTGCTCCGGACTGACCGCCGCCCCCACTGGAGCGCCAGCTCCCCCGCGGCGCTGGGCCTGAACCCGCACACCTATGCTGGAATAGGGTTGCAGGACTATGAGGTTCCGAAAGGGGCAGCGACGTGTCCCACGTCCCCCAAACGCGAGGCGGCCGGCCCCAGCCCCGGGGGTCGGAGCGCCGCAGACCGGCGGCGGTGGCTTCAGTCTGCGCAGCCTGCGCTCGGTCCTCCGGCCAGCAGAGGGCGCGCTCCTCCGCCCAGAAAGCGGAAGTGCGTGCGCGCGGACGGCCGAGGGGCGGGGCGCGCGGGGACCTTGTGATAACTGCGCAGGCGCGGGGAGGCGGTCCTTTCTGGAGGGCTGACAAGATGGTGAGTGCCGTGGGTTGGTGCGACCGTCCCCGGCCGATCCGCCGCCATCCGCCCCCTGACCGCGCCGTGAGGGCCGGGGGCGGGCCGCTCGGCTGCGGCGGCCTCCTCCAAGCGTCCGGGGCCGCCGGATATGGGGGCGCGGGGTGGGCCTGGCTGGTGTCGGGATGACGCGGGGCGGGGAAGGCCGGTGCTCGCTGGCACGTCCCCGCCGAGCCCCAGCAGCCCGGAGCCGCGTGTGTGTGCCCCGGCCGGAGGCGGCGGGGACCCGGGCCGGGTGAGCCCCGCGGCCGCGGCGGCTGGGGGGCAGGTCCTCGGGCCCCGCACTGACGCGCGCCCCGGCCCGCGCAGGCGGAGGTGGAGCAGAAGAAGAAGCGCACGTTCCGCAAGTTCACGTACCGCGGCGTGGACCTGGACCAGCTGCTGGACATGTCCTAGTAAGGGGCGGCCGGGGCCGGGGGAGGGGGGCGGCCGGGGCCGGGGGAGGGGGGCGGGGGGGGCCGGGGGAGGGGGGCGCGGGGCGGGGGCCGCGGGCCGGCGGGGCGAGGGGCGGAGGCCGGGGCCGGGGTCCGGGGTCCGTCCCGGCTCAGGCCGCCCGCGCTCGCCCCTGTCCGCAGCGAGCAGCTGATGCAGCTGTACAGCGCGCGGCAGCGGCGCCGGCTCAACCGCGGGCTGCGCAGGAAGCAGCACTCGCTGCTCAAGCGCCTGCGCAAGGCCAAGAAGGAGGCGCCGCCGATGGAGAAGCCCGAGGTGGTGAAGACGCACCTGCGGGACATGATCATCCTGCCGGAGATGGTGGGCAGCATGGTGGGGGTCTACAACGGCAAGACCTTCAACCAGGTGGAAATCAAGGTTCGTGCGGGGCTGGCCTGGCGGGGGGGGGGGGGGGGATCCTGCCACTGACGTCACCTGACGCCCTGCCCTGCTCGCCCCCCGCAGCCCGAGATGATCGGCCACTACCTGGGCGAGTTCTCCATCACCTACAAGCCTGTGAAGCACGGCAGGCCGGGCATCGGGGCC